CATCAACTCATGCATACATATAGCTGGTATATATATATACCATTCACTTGTCCTTTATATCATATATACCATTCCTTTTTGTCCTAGGCTATATATAACTGGCATTTATATATAAAATTCACTTGTCATATATATATATCCTATAAGTGGAATTTATAAATGCCATTCACTTATCCTATATATCATATAACTAGTATATATCATATGTATGGAATTTATTTATACCGTTCCATTGTCCTATATATCATATAACTGGTATTAATATAAATAACTCCATTGTCTAAATATTGTATAACAGGTATTTAAATAATATTCTTTTGTCTTATATAACATATACATGTAACTGGTATTCATACCATTCCATTTTCCTTGATATCTTGTGACTGGTATTGATTTATACCATATATTTAACATATAATTGGTATTTCTATATACCCTTGTCCTATATATCATATAACTTGTATTCATATATACCATTCCCTTGTCCTATACATTATATAACTGGTATTGATATATACCATTTCCTTTGCATATTTAACATATAACTGGTATTTTAATATACCAACCATTCCCTTGTCTTATATATCATATAACTGGTATTGATATATACCATTTCCTTGTCTTATATATCATATAACTGGTATTGATATATACCATTCCCTTGTCTTATATATCATATAACTGGTATTGATATATACCATTCCCTTGTCTTATATATCATATAACTGGTATTGATATATACCATATCCTTGACATATTTCTCATATAACTGGTAATTACATATACCATTCCCTTATCCTATCATATATTACATCATATAACTGGTATTGATATATACCATTCTCTTGACATATTTCTCATATAACCGGTATTTACATATACAATTCCCTTATCCTATCATATATTATATCATATAACTGGTATTTGAATGTTATATATATCTTTTACTTTTTCTGACCTTGTACATTAAAATTCTGTTTTATGATATTTCCATTCAAATTACTTATTATATTAACTTATTCATTAATTTATTTACTTGCTAATCTATTTATCTATTTATGTATTAATAATTAGAAGAACCTAATAATTTTTCAAATTATACTTTTCACAAACTATCCCTGATCTTTAAAAAAACAGTTACCTATATTTTCTTTATATGTCACTGCATTTCTTTCATATATTTATTAAACTACACATTTGAATATTACTTCTATCAATTTAAATATTATAACAATTATCAGAAAATTAATATCTAATAAACAGTTTAACTGTTTTTGATGATTGTTATCTATCCGTTTGCACTACATTCATTATTTAACTTATCAATAAGCAACTTTAGTATTATTTTTTTGTTTATTTTTTTTTTGCTGAAAATTAAAAGGACTACTTTTTTATGTCTTTTATCATGGAATAATTTAGATTAAGCACTATAATAGCTGCATGTATATATTCTTTCTTACTGTGTTAAAAATTCAGATATTTTTTTTTTGTCAAAAATGAAAAGCTAAATTTATCATCCCTTTTAATAAAATAAAACAATTTAGTTTAAACACTATGCTAACTTCATGTAACCTATATCATTTTTTTTGTTGAAAAGCCAAACTCATAATAATCATCACGTTTTAACAGAAAATAACTGATTCCTTATTCTTTTACATACTGGTTTAGCATCAATTTCCCTTCTTCTCCTAATAAATCCTTTCCTAGTTGATATCAATGTTAAACCTATCAACATTTATTACTCCTCACCATCTTCTGTTATAGGAACATTCCATTACACTCACATTTCTACAGTAATGAGGAATATTTCAGGAAGACTATCAACAAAATTTTGCCCATGATGTCAAACTCAATTTTGACTTCTTTCAAGCTTAATGCTTCTTTAAAAACTCTTCATCTCTAAAGATGAACCGTATTATATTGTCAAGTTAACCTACAATAAACCTAACTCAAGCCTACTTGAGATTGTGTTTGTAACAATGGTAATTACTGTGGACAAGTCTTTTGGGTTATGTTGGTATGATATAATTGAAAGATTTATTGTTTATATTCTCCATACAATACGTCAAGTTCTTTTAATTTGTAAGATTTTCTAATAATATCAAATATTTTCTCATAATAACTATTTTTCAATTCATTAAATGTAAATATTTCAAGGTTTGTAGTATCAGCATCTATCACACTAACAGTATTAACCAAATACAGGTATTGAAGTTGTTGATGTTTTGATAAATTTACATCATGCTGCTTCATACACTCACATTTAACCTCATAAAGACGTATTTGTTCAAGATGACTGGTTCCCTCAAGAAAATTACAAAATGTAGTAGTATCACCATGACTCATTCTTATAAGACTCATACTTATTGCTACAAGATTGACTATACTAGGTAGGTTACAAACTACTGTTTTACACACTGGGTAATACTTTCGATTGTAATAGACATGAAGAGACAGAGATTTTAATGTTGAAGTATTTACTTTAATTGTCTCAGAAACACAATTGTTTATCTCATCAATCATCTGTTCACTGGTATTACCCTGTGAACTAAGCCTTATTTCAATTTTTTCAAGATGATGAAACATTGGTAAATATTTTGTAAATTTAACATTTTGTGTCTTGATGTTATCTACATTAATAGACAGAACAGAGTCAGGAACAATTTGATGCTGATCAATACTTGAACAAACAATATCACAATCATCACTATGATAAATGACCAAATCTCCAATATAAAACACAGGATTATTTCCTATACTACATGTTGCATTGAATTCTTCCATTGAGTCAAACATAAGCTTTTGAATATCAGTAATATAATCATAATCCCCATAATAAATGTCACCACTTATTGTTCTCCTGTATTCCTGAACACGAGAGTCTTCTGACACAGTATCATATATGTATTTTGAAACATGTGTTGCTAATCTAGGTTCAAGACCAGATAGCATAATGATAACATTTGATTGCTCTAATATGTCATTTACTGTTGAACATTTCTGAAAAACCTCACAAATAAACTTTTTGACTAATTCAACATTTCCTGTACTATTTGATGAACACATTTTTGCATTGAAATTTATACCAATATTTACTGCAGCCAGAAATTCTTGCATTGATTTGTGAATAAAAGAGAACAATGAGCTTGGTGGTTCTGATACAGATAAACTTGGACATTCATCTTCGGTCATTATTCCAAGTTTCAAGCAATTTTCTCTTACTTCATCTGATATTTCTAGTTCATCAAAACATACAAATGTCAAATGTCAAGGATTTATCCTTCGGACAAAATTAAAAAGGGGTCTCAAAAAGCCAACTGTGACACCCTTTATAAATAAAATGGGGGTTTTAATTTTAATTTTTATTTTATTTGCTTTAAAAATTTAGGGAAAGGTTTTCTTTCTGGGTTTCCCCCCCATGAGTTTTAGTATTTGTTTGGGGAGTTTTTTATGTCATTCCCCGGTTTAAAAAAACTCTAACAACCGGGTAGATGGGACATCTTTGGGGGGGGTTTTACGGGGGTTTACCATCAAAAACCCTAGACATAAAACAGTTGTTGTAGCATTTTAAATTTGGGACCTGTTTTAAACTTTTTTAGAGACTTTTTTATTCAGCTTTTCCCTACACTCTTGGGGGGTTGGTTTTTTTAGCATGTTATTTACATTTAATTTTTGAGGGCTGCCTACTTAAACCCTTTCCCCAAATTTACATCCCCAAATCAAACCCTTTCAGATTCAGTGACTGTTCAATCTCCACATCACTTGATCTTAATGTATGAAATTTCCATGGCCGCGAAGTAGTTAATATTGTGTATTCCATAAAGATGCTATGTTCTGGGACATTTTCAGAGGACCATTCATCCAAGCCATCAAGCAAAATCATAACTCTAGAGGATTCTTCTTCAAGAAGTGTGTTTAACATTTTCATTTTATAACGTTTTTGAAGCATTTCATCGATAGTGCCAAGGTTCTGATACTGTCTAAGAGGGATGTAAAATACAAAATCAAATTTCTTCATCTCTTTTACACCATTGAATTTAAGTTCATAATTTTTGCTATCATATTCAGAGTCATCACTGTCAAATTCAGAGTCTGTTAAGTCAGTATCAGAGTTGTCACTATCGGATTCGGAGTTATATAAGATATCAGAGTCACCATTGTGGGATTCGGAGTGTATTAAGTCAAAACTGTTATCCTGAATGACATCACTGTCACTTCCATTTTTCTTAATGCCACCCACATATTTTTCATCTCCTCGTTTCTCATTAACACCTTGATGTGTCTTACTGCACTCTTCGTTTTCAATGTCTCTACTATGTGTCCCCTTTACCTCTTCATTTACAATGTCACTTCCCTTTTTTGCATGTTCTTCAAAATCACCTCCTTGTTTCTCAGTGCCACCTTCATTGTCATTGACAACTCCAGCTTCACGTTTTTCACCATCACCTTCATGTCTTTCACTGTCACCTTCAGGTTTACTATTGCCATCTTCATTTTCATTGACCCCTCCATATTTTTCATCATCACCTCCATGTTTTTCACTGTCACCTTCCGGTTTACTACTGCCACCTGCATTTTCATTGCCAGCTTCATGTTTTTCACCATCACCTCCATGTTTTTCACTGTCACCTTCAGGTTTACTATTGCCATCTTCATTTTCATTGACCCCTCCATATTTTTCATCATCACCTCCATGTTTTTCACTGTCACCTTCCGGTTTACTACTGCCACCGCCTGCATTTTCATTGCCAGCTCCATGTTTTTCATCGTCACCTCCATGTTTTTTTCACTGTCGCCTTCAGGTTTACTACTGCACCTGCATTTTCATTGCCAGCTTCATATTTTTCATCGTCACCCTCCATGTTTTTCACTGTCGCCTTCAGGTTTACTACTGCCACCTGCATTTTTCATTGCCAGCTCCATGTTTTTCATCGTCACCTCCATGTTTTTCACTGTCGCCTTCAGGTTTACTACTGCCACCTGCATTTTCATTGCCAGCTTCATGTTTTTTTCACCATCACCTCCATGTTTTTCACTGTCGCCTTCAGGTTTACTACTGCCACTGCATTTTCATTGCCAGCTTCATGTTTTTCATCGTCACCTCCATGTTTTTCACTGTCGCCTTCAGGTTTACTACTGCCACCTGCATTTTCATTGCCAGCTTCATGTTTTTCATCGTCACCTCCATGTTTTTCACTGTCGCCTTCAGGTTTACTACTGCCACCTGCATTTTCATTGCCAGCTTCATGTTTTTTTCACCGTCACCTCCATGTTTTTCACTGTCGCCTTCAGGTTTACTACTGCCACCTGCATTTTCATTGCCAGCTTCATGTTTTTCATCGTCACCTCCATGTTTTTCACTGTCGCCTTCAGGTTTACTACTGCCACCTGCATTTTCATTTGCCAGCTTCATGTTTTTTCATCGTCACCTCCATGTTTTCACTGTCGCCTTCAGGTTTACTACTGCCACCTGCATTTTCATTGCCAGCTCCATGTTTTTCATCGTCACCTCCATGTTTTTCACTGTCGCCTTCAGGTTTACTACTGCCACCTTCATTTTCATTGCCAGCTTCATGTTTTTTCACCGTCACCTCCATGTTTTTCAGCTGTCGCCTTCAGGGTTTAGCTACTGCACCTGCATTTTCATTTTCCAGCTTCATGTTTTTCACCATCACCGTCCATGTTTTTCACTGTCGCCTTCAGGGTTTACTACTGCCACCTTCATTTGCATTGCCAAGCTCCATGTTTTTCACCATCACCTCCATGTGTTTCACTGTTCGCCTTCAGCTTTACCATTGCCATCTTCATTTTCATTGCCATCTTCATTGTCAGGCTTCATGTTCCTCACTGTGTGCCAAACACCAAACAGTTTAACCAGATATTTACCAAAACTAGTTTTTTCCTGACCCTGCATCTCCTAGAACATATACAGAATTTTGGGGACTCCGTCCTTTGTGAAGATTTCGGACATTGATTTAACCTCCACCTCCTCTGTCTCACCCTTTTCTCTTTTTATGTCCTTGGTTATTTTTTGGTCTAATATAAATGTCTTTAAAACTGCATTTTTCACTTTTTGGTTGTAAAGTGCTTGTAGGAACTTGGCAGCAGGGGTTTTGTGATACTGTTCAATCAGGCTTTTTCCGCCATTCTGTAATTTAAATGATAATATTGAAATCCAATTGTTAAGGACTAATTGATGAGTTAATGATACAGAAAATTAGTATAAACAGATTATCACAGGCCCAAACACTTATTGTTCAAAATAAAGACAAACAGTTGAATTTAGGCACACACGCACAGAATATCAGTCAGCCAGTTTTTTTAAATAAAAAAGATTTCTCTATTTCTGTTTTATATATACTTAACTTTACTTGTCAATTCTACTGCTTTCTACTTTGTTTAAAAATATGAAAACAAATATCAACAAAAGAAGCATTGCATTCTATAAATGAAATAACCCTAAGTAACACAACCACAAAGTTTTATCTCCCAGTCTCAAAGAATTGAAACTGAAACTCATTTTGTATGAAGACACCATTCCAAAAATTTCTC